AACGTATTTCTTGGTAAAGAATTGTTGCAAGCATCAATTTTGAATAAGTTAGCTTCAGTATTTACAGATTCATCGAAGATTTCGTATTTTTCTAAATTACCGTTATATGGGACGTGGGCGTGGTTATTGTCAGTGATCGGACCTCTATTACATTGTGGTAGATCTGCTACTTTTTTTTTGCCACTCAAGGTCTGAAATCTACCACATATCTGCGTTTTTGAGTAGATTTATTTTTGCTTGACATAATTTTGGTAATTGTAAGAGCAAAAATGGTCCAACACTAAACACTATATGGTAACAAGAAAGATATAAAACAAGATTCAGCATTCCGGCAACGACAAAAGCGGTTACCAAGATGTACCCATGTAACCATAATTGGGCGTGGCTACTCCCATTTTCCAAAAATTTATAATATTCTTATTTTTCGTCTAAAACCTATTGTAAATATAAATTTTTGAGTGAATTATCTTCGGTAGTTACTAAAATATCGAAGTTTTCGTATTTCTGAAAATTACCGTTATGCCCATTTTCAATAGCATCCGTTAAATCCGAGAAATTAAAAATAAATTTTCTTTTGTCCAAATTTCTTGAATCAATTTGCAGCTCTCAAGAATAAATTCTCATGTATTGATTTCTTCCAGAAAATTTACAGCAACGGCAAAGCGCTTTTTCAAGCAACTGAAATAATGAAAAAATATTTCTTGTGATTTTTCTTGAGAGCTGGAAACTAAGCTTAAAAGGTTAAGCACCGTGCAAAAAGAATTATCTAAATGTGTTTCCTGAAAAATTTTTAAGGAATAACTTCTAGCGGAGGAATTCAATGCTTAGTGGAAAGTCTGCATTAGGCAAAAATTTTGGCTAGTATTTACACTTTCCTTGGTCTTAAGTTAACTGGTTATAGGTTATTTATTCGACAGTGTGTTTTATTTTTGCAAACGGAATAACAAATAAATATAACCACATAGGAAGATAAGCAGGCAAGTGTGAATGCCAACACAGTTTTTAACGACTTGATTGATAAAATTAACGAAAAGGCATGTTAACAATTGAAATAAACTTATCTTTATAACCAAGTTTATGTAAGTGTATTTTTTTCAATTAAGCTAAGTATACTTTAATCTAATAAGTATGCCTTTTTACGCCATTTAAAAAATTCCACGTGGACACGAACTAAACGACAAATTTTATTAACGCAAATGCGCTGGAATTCTCGAATGCCTAACTTTGTCAATGCCCAGTGAAATGCCCTATTGCATTTATTTTTTTTTTTAATTCCTCACACGCAGTATCTGATGCGTAGCACCACGTTTAATACTGTTCTTATTCGATTAAGCGGCAAATGTTTTAAACAAAGTCGTTGGGCATTAAAGTAATAAAAATAGTCACTAAGTTCGCGTTTTTTAAAACACACATTTTTCGTTATATTTGAATGGCTACTGGAAATCCGGCATTACAATAAAAATTAGCTATTTTAAATTATACTTTGCTTTTAAATTTAAGTAAAACTCAAAAGTATGCTCAGTTATATTTAATAAGTATTTTTTAAGTAATTACTACGCAAATTTTAATCGCTTTGCTAACTTAAAATGTATATTTCTCTCTCTTTCACTTACTCTACTGCACTTTATTCTCGTGGAACAAACTAATTTTGTACTATTAAATTAAATGGATTCTCTTCAAATGCAACAATAATACAAACATATGCTCATATGTAAATTTAAAAAAAAAAAAAATCCTTCAAGTAGGTTCTTTAAATTTGGGCCATAACAAACCAAAGTCAAATAATCGCGGGACGCGCGAGCTTTTGTTATGCGATCAACACTTCTGAGGTGCATAGAGATTTCGTAGCACGGAAGCAAGCAACACCTAAATACATAATACATACTTACAAACGAAAAAAATTCGCCCAACCACTCAATCAAATCGAAAAGAATTAACGCATTGCCGACATTTTTTTGCGAGGTGTTTGCACTTTTTACTGTAAACGGGCCGACCGACCGGCATTTTCCGCGTGAAAATCTACAAACAACAGCGGCAGATTAAATAAAAAGTGCGTAAGAAGAAGAGACTGAAAAGCCAAAAATAATAATATGTTTCAGGCATACATATATTAACAAATAAATAAAGATAAATAAAGTCAAGCAAATGGAAAACGGCAAAAACAAACCGAGAATGCAAAATTAAAGACCAAATATTTTATTGCATTTAAATGCGCTTTGGCATGATTTGTTGTTTACAATTTATGGCAGATATGTGCATATACATACATACTGCATACTCGAAAGTTTTCTAAATATTCTGGAAAAAAATTAAAATTCTTATGAAAATTTGTTCAATTTTTATGCATAGGTTGCACAGTGTAACGTCCACATACAAACTGCGGACAAAAATAGCAAACATTAACTGATTTCGCTGAAATTTGGTACGTGGCGTGGAGTATGAAGATTTTTGGAGAATAAAATTAGCAATGCAAATGTTGAAATCCGGCTGCAGGTTTAAAAAAATAAGCTTACTAAAAATTAGTGCTAGTTATGATTTTTATTGGTAGAATGAAAATGATTCTCAAACTCAGACTACAACCAACATTTTTCGTTAAGTGCCGGGTGTGTCAATTGAAGTGATACCCAAAATTCAACTAGCAAGTATGGAATGGGCACACCATCATTTCTAATCTATTCAAATTTTGTGTAGTTTCTTTTTACTGTATAACGTTTACAGAGTGTGATGTGCATCGATCATCATCGATAAAAAAAAATGGGAATTGAGAGAGCATAAAACTGAAATGCAGCTGCGCTTCAATGGGTCTAAATTCAATCAACCAACCAACAAATTCGTCGATGACAGAGAGAAATTTCGCATAAGTTCTATGAAAAAATGTGGAACATGGTAAAGGTCGACGCAGTGCCACGCCCAAGACTCTTATGAACATAGATGATATTTGTTATATAATTTTGCTAAAAACCGGTGTATTTAACATTTTAGAACACTCTCTTCCTATAAAAAAAAAACTAGATAAACAAACAAACAAAACAAAAACAAATGTCTAAAATACCTAGATTCCCTTTAGCTGTTAGTAACATTCTTTTAGATTACACTGTTTCAGGTCATATGGCAAAGGCCGAAAGGAACGCTTACAGTGTTAAAGGACAAAGAATTGGGCTTTTATCCTTTCTATTCCAAACAGGTAAGTTGTTTACTATGTAACGAATCTGATTAATTGTTTTTTTTTTTCTGACTAAGTTACCACGCTTTTTACTTTGGTTTGAACATCGTAGTTCCACTGTGCGCCGATATCTAACAACTTGAGACTACTGGGTTATGTCATTTGGAGTTTTTAAAGGCGGCAGAGTCTTATAGCAATAAATATACTTGGTTAAAAAAGCTTAAGCCTGCGGAAGACTTAAAATTTCAGTAAAATGTAAAGAGGGATGGAACGGTTTCTATACACCTTTAAACTACATAACGGTTTCCTTTTTAGCAACTCTAAAACTATTAAAGAATAACGTTGTCTAATCATTAGAGAAGGGCGACACTTCAATTAGCATACCCGGTAGTATTTATCTACAAATTTATGTACTTACAATGTCGTCGTATAAATACATGTGTAAGTATAGACGAACAGATACTACGTGTTTTGTATATAATTATAAATATGACAAGTGCACTTAAATTATTACGTACATATGTACGTAAATATGAGTGTAAGTATCTATGTAAATATGTACATATGTATTTATGTATGTTTGTATGTATGTGAATATTTACCTTCAAGTGTCCATCGGCTGTACGATTATCGTCATCGGTTGGTATAACCGTGGCAAAACGATAAGAGTCTGCTCTCCCATGCTAAAGAATCGGTGGAACAAATTTTTTGTGTACAACAAATTACAATTATAGACAAGACAGGAACATTGTGATGTAGCATTGGACAAACGAGCACAAAAAACGTAACAACGTAACAACGTAAAAGCGTAATACGTAACGTAACGCAATGAAATGTAAGGCGAGCATGAAGGAAAATGGAAAAAATAAGAAGAAAATACATATAAAATATTTTATGAAATGTATTGACAACTTGTATACAAATGTAGCGTTAGGCGCATTTAATGTATGTATGTAGGTAGGTAGGTAGGTAGGCATATAAATTCTGGCTGCTAATAAGCGGAAAGAATTTATCTATATACTATATATACATATGTATTTAACATAAGTATAATTACATGCAATTCTTTATATAGTTATAAGCAAGAGTCTACGAGTAACATAACATAACATAACATACACATATATTTTTATTCTTAAAATAGAGACAATAAATATCGCATATAGGTATGTAAAGTTCTTATATAGTATTGCAAATACTTTTTGAATCTAAAAGTTTCACACGAAAATCGATTGGCACTCCAACTTCTGTATTTGTGTACATCAAGTAGAAGTAAGTAGGTCAACGTAACACAGACTTACCTTTAGTTAGTACGCTACTAAGCAAACGCCTAATAGCAGTAGAAATTCAAGAATAATGTCAACTTGCAATCGATATCACTGGAAGGCCACTCTAAGGTACATACTGGAATACTGGAATAAATCGCGCATTCAGTATTTAAGGGACACTCAAGCAGACGCGGCATTGGAAGTGCATACAAGGCGGTACATAGTATAGTTATGTACCGCCTTGTACCGCACTTCCAATACCGCGTCTGTTTGAGTGTCCCCTTAATTGAACGGAAATCGTGGCATTGGAATGCTTTCGAGACAAGTAGTCAAAACCTACTTTCCAGTCGCGTGCCATACTAGGGTACATGGCTACTACGTATGCATGTACATATGTATGTATGTTTGAAAATGCTTTGTCTACCTCTGAACTGTTTCATTAGGAGTGGGTGGTTGAACATGTCAATGATGATGGCAGCCAAATGATTTTCACTGACGAGCCCTTCTTTTGAATGGCAAACCCTACTAAGTGTGCAGTCAGCAGCTTCAGCGACAAAACAAGGATTTGTTTAGACTAAATATTAAAAAGAGTCACAACTCAAAATATTGAACGAATGCTTAGCTTACACAGGGTTTTAATCTAGTAGTCAATATTCAAAAGGGGCATATTATATTTCAAGAAAAGTAATTTCGCTGCCTTTGCTCCCATGAGGCGATTTCTTAGAAGTTCGTATATAAGGCCGGTTGCACTGAACAAATCTGTTAATTTATCGTATTTTAGTTTAGTTTACCACCAATCGAGAGGATTTTCACCGAGATAAGCTCATGTTTCTTTAAGATAGGCCTTCAATTGAGCTTAAATTACACTTTTTTTAATGTCTCTAAATTCTACATCCGAGCCTTCGCTTTCGCTGGAGGAATCTAAAATTATTTCTAGGTTACTTATAAGACTTTTAGCAGTACTTGTTGAAGGTCCATCAATGTTGCGTGATACACTACTTAACCGTTTAATGCCTGAAGCTAAAAGCCGGTTACTGCCGCACCCTGGTTAGACAGACTTAGAGCCATTTCAACAATATTAGAGTGGACTCTTTGCCCATGTACACATTCGCATTCGCAAAACATTCGCATCATTTGATGCGAATACGAATGTGGAATGCGAATGCCGAATCCGAAGATGTAGAATAATGCGAATCATTCGCATAAAAAATGCGAATGCAAATATTCGCTATCTTAGGCGTTTTCTTTTCCCGAAAAAAATGTCACCGTTTTATATGGCAACATTATCGGAGTGCAAAATTTTAAAGAAATAGCACCGCAATACGCTTGTTGAAGATGCTGAGAAAAGAATACGAAAACTTGACAGCCCTGGCGACATGCAAAATTATTTCGTGAAAAGAAAACGCTATTAATGTGTATGTATGTAAATATGTAACTGACTAGACGAATGTACAAACGCTAATTATAACATCAAATAATTACTTGCGTTTAAATAAATAAATAAACAAAGTATAGCTACAAAAATTGGTAAAAAATTACAGTGTCAAAATGAGAAATAGCAAATAAGAAGAACAATCAGTCACTATTGACGATACTAGTACGTAGAATGAACACACATTGAGTCGTTTCAAAAGGTATCATAACAATAATATTGTTTGAAAATTTTGATTACTTTGTGGTTGCTAAGCGTTACTCAAAAATATAAATTTATAAATTATAAATTTATGACATTATGACACGTTGTGAATCAGCCAACTGAATATAACGCTAAACTTAATTTATTGTACTAATTTACACTAACAAAAAATAAAATAAAAACGTTTAGGAAAAGAAAGAATAAAACATGCAAGTGCATTTGGAACAAGGATTCTCATGCTCAATGTAAAACGTTGAATATCATACGTTATATTGTATACAATTGAAAAACAACAACAACTACAAAACGGAGAACAATTAATGGAAAAGAAATAATACTAAGGGCCGTGTTCTCAAGTAACCTTTAACTTTAAAGCTCACTTACTATTCACTATTTAAATATTTATTTACAACCAAGAAACATACATACATCATAAACTTATAATAGAAATGCTTAACTTTAGACATAGCCTTACTTTTAATCCAACCTTTAAATATAAAGTGAGTTTTAATCTTAAAGGTTATTTCAGAAAACGGCCCTAAGTTTAAGGAAACATTACCAGGTAACCAACGATTCGAAATTTTGGGGAAAATATTTTTCTAATGGACATTACATTTTAACATTACCCACTATGCTTTGTTATCATTTTTTTTAGGGTAGTTTTCGAGGAATGCTTTAAAATTTGCGAAAAACACACTCCTAGACGTTTTAGCCACAAAGTGATGAGCTAAGTTGGATTTATTTTTCTTAAAGCATTGCTGGCATTAACACCGTTTGATACTTCTGTTGCGTGAAGCCGATTTGTCTGTACATTTTATTGCAATTGCAGTTTTGCCGTAGTCGAAATAGGTTTTCCTGCGACTCAGCTGTCATTTATATATACCGGACATAGTATGTATGTATATTATGGTGGTCCAAAAACAGGAAATTCGGAATTGTAATGCTTTCACCCCCTTGGATTGTACTACATATATGGAAAAAAGTATACCCTATTTTTTATTTTGAAATCAAAAGCTATAGAGAGGTCGCTCAAAGCGCTCAAAGTTTTCCATGTATTTTTATATGGGGACGAAACAACTTTTCGTAGAAATGGTATAGAATTCGTAAAATCAATATTTTTCGATGGGAAAACTCTGGTTCTGTTCAGGAGACTTTCAATTATAATATCCGATTGTTTATTTAACCATTCTTTAATACTAATGATTTTTTATTGCCCCCCCCCCCACATTTTTTGGGGTTTTTGTGGGTTTTATAAACGATTGGGTATTATTATTGGGAATCTTCTGCAGATAAACTGAGTTTTCCGATAGCAAAATATTGATTTTTAAGAATTCTATACCATTTCTACGAAACGTTGTTTTTCCCCATATAAAATACATGGATAACTTTGGGCACTTAGAGCGACCTCTAAATATTTTTTGATTTCAACATAAAAAATAGGGACATATTTTTCCGGTATAGAACAATTCCCCCGGGGGGAATAAAAAATTTGACTTAAATTTTTCACATGCATTTTTGGACCACTCTAATGT